ACACTTATTAAGCAATATTATAATATATATTTTGACCTCATAATTTGGCAAGATGTATTTTTACTGAAACTAAGGCAGATGCCATCTTTGTGCATGTTTCATAGCAATAAAAAGACTTAAATTTATGTCAAAGGAGTCTTAGTTATCCTGATTACTTGGAGACTTGGAGCATCCATCAATTGATAGAAATACTTTTGATATCATCAACAGATCCGAACCGACATACAGCATGATGAAAATTATTAAGATATAGGATCTGTAAGATTAATTTGTTGGAAAGGGCAAAAGGAACTGGTTTGATATGTCATACTTAGGGCCTGCAGTCATTGTAGGACAATTCTCAGCAGTACAAAACTCTGTAAGGGTACCATAGAGCAGATTCACCTGATTGAAGAAATCCACGGCTGAAAAAGATCCAACACTTATATATAAGAAACGAGTTTCAAAGAAATCAGGCAAGTGACCTACTAAAGTCGAATATTCAGGGATAAATTACACATACAGCTTTAAAAATATATATATCAGGAATTATTCTGAATGTTTGCATGTGTGTGCAGGGTGTATGTGAGTGTGAAAGAAAGAGAGGGAGCAAGAATACTGTTGACCGCGAGCCATTCATTTAAATCTTCCCCGGGAGGTAGCCTTACTGCTTCCCTTAGATTCCCACTGCCCAGGGTAGAATCAATGTGCTGTTTAAGCTGTGCACCCTGCATTACGTAGTTACAGTACATGGATGAGAACTGCAAATTCTTCTAAGCCACTAATATAGCACAATGAAGTCCAGAAAGTACTTGTATAAAAAGCACTATAAATAAGCCAGCGCTGTAGAAATGGGGAGACACCTCTAAAAGTTTACATGATCATTGTCAAGCTCAATACACAGCAGAACTAACCATGTTTAGAGGTAGATCTCCAATTAGTAAAATCATTATCACATCTAGTATGTGTATACAAGACCCTCAAATATCCATGAGTTGGCCCCACAGGTGAGGCTGTAGAACCGTCATGCATGTCGGTAGAACATTGAAATCTGTAGTATTTCCACTTTGCCACCGAAATTTTTAAGTAACACATCATAATGTAAATTTGTTTTACGAGGAAGTGACTTCAAAAGCAATGAAATTTATCAAATAGAAATATGAATGGTAAAAGCTATTTTATCTTTTCCCCCATTGGTATGGTCAAGTGAATTCTTGCTTTACAAATATAAATAACGATTTCCAGAATTAATGGCAACCGTTTAAGTAGCTAAAATTCCAAGAAGTAAAAGGGTCAGGAAAAGCAATTAAGTTGAGGATTCAGGAACTTCTTTTCTTACTTGCTTTGTTTTGTTTCTGTTTCTACACACTTTGTAGCATAATTCTATAGTGCTAAAGTTGCAAAATCAATCATAAAAAAATAGGAAACAAATTATTTACCAAGGGGATAAATTGAGCCAGTAGCCAGTGGTCACATAAACAATCCAAAGGATTCAAGCACAAAAATAAGGAACAAACAGAGATGAAAGATTAATTATTTTTTACTAGAAAAAAGAACAAAAATAACCAACCTTACTTCCTGAGGGTGCATTTTTTTTGGGGCGGAATGTTCGCTGATTTCTGTTTTTAGAACAATATATTATCAGAAAAATTGTTAACCGAGAAGATATACAAATGGCTAACAGCTGTACTGCTAAGACATGGAAGTGGGGGTCAGAAATACACACATCCAACATAGGTAAGTTAAAATTTTCAAAAGTTGTTTTGTTGGTTCAGAGGAATTCAATCTAAGCAAAGTATAAAACAGTATTAAATAGAAACACAATATTTACCAGAGAAAAACAGAAAACAATCGTTTTATGACCCTTAAAACTGGAAACCATGGATGATCTTAAGCATCCATTAAACCTGATTACTAAGTATTTTTGACAAACTAATTAGCTCTCTTGGACTATATTTGTTCATTCCAATTACTTCTCCCACTTAATTCAACCTTCTTTCTAAACTTCATTCTACCACCTCAAGTCCTCTAACAATGGCTCCAAAATGTCCAACAGACCCAACATGCAATGCTCTTGATAAAATTCAGCTTGCAGATGCAAAGCTCATCAGTTTCAATGATGATCATATAGTTCCAAAGGTCAAAATCGATAGTTTTAACATATTTTCACCTTTTCTACCTTTCTAACGTTGCCATTCTCGAAATCAGCCTGGAACGGAATGGCTTTCGGTCATAGTTCTAATAAAACCGGACCAACCAATCACAAGAAATCAGAACAAATCATCAAATAAGAACATGAAGAAAATTTGAACAAGCATAATTAAGATCCACATTCATTCATGTATAGCCCAGCCTTAGTTTGACTAACATATAAAAAACAGATGAAAACAAAAGGCAACACAATTAACGATCGACGTGATTTTGAGACTCAAAGCTTTGAGAATTTATAATAATCAAAAGAGCAGTTAACAATAGCGCCATTAAGCCAATTGCTCCAACAAAACAGTAAGATCGCAGCTAACGTTAACAGAGATATAAATGAATCAGAGAGCAAATTACGAAAGCAGATAAAATGTTTCCAGAAACTGAATTAAATTCAACAGTGCCTAGAAAGATGAATCGATCGCTGATCTTAAACCAGGAAACATGCAATAGAATTATAACGGATCTCACATAATCTATCAAAGCATGAATATAAACAGAAACAGGAAAAAGGTGAAAATTACGAATCACCTGCCCAGACCGAAGAGACTCATGGTTACAGAGTTGGAGAGGATTCGGATTTTTCCTTTCTTCAGGTGGATACCTCAAAGCTGATAAGGCTTTTTCTCTCGTCACCTTTCCTATTTCCTTACTGTTTTCTTTAAAAATAGTGTATTTTTAACTGTTCATTGCGTGATCTCAGCTGTTCTCGTCATTTTTATGTCCATATTAAATTTAGAGGTATTCATAAATGGTGATTAAAATATGTTAAAATAATTTATTTAATTATTATAGTTTAAGGTATAAAATAATCACTAAATTATATATAATGAATAAAGTACACAAATCATCTTCGGTTATAAGGTGATGCTTGCTTGAGTCATTTGTCTATCAATAATTACAAAATAGTCTTTCAATTATAGAGTATTGTTCCGTTGAACTTTCGATTATTAGAAGTTACAAAATATTTATCTGACTATTTAATATGTTAAAAACTCTTCTTTCTATGTTAAAAAATTGACGATAATCTAAGTTGAATGTTAACCTAATGACCGTTATATATGATAAAATTTGATCTTATAATATGAAAAACTATCATATCCCAGTCAACATGTTAATATTCAACTCAGATTATTGTCAATTTTTTAACGAAAAATGACGAGTTTGGAACATACTAAATAATTGGATGACCATTTTATAACTTTTAATATTCGGGGGACTCAACAAAGCATCATCCTATAATCGAGGGATTATTTGTGTACTTTATTCTAATATAATTTAGTGAATATTTATGTATTTTACTCTAAAATAAATAATGTACGAATATATATAGATAATTCAATATACTTTCTCTTTTACAAGTAATTTTAATTTATCGTTTAATAATCTAAACAGAGTTAATACATGGTCTGTATATTGATGTTTGAGTACTATGCGGGGGTGTTTCGGAAACAGCTTGCTTAGGAGGGAGTTTAAGGGGATTTTACCGTTTGGATACCCCTAACTTTTGGGCCGCTGTACAAAATAGTTAATGGGCGGGAAAGTTATTTGCTTCATACGAAGCTCGTTAGACACTAGATTTTTTATTTTGGGTAAAATACACAAATGGTCCCCTGACTATAGAGTGCTATTTTATTAAGTCACTCATTATTAAAAGTTATAAGATTATCTTTCAACTATAGAGTGTTACTTTGTTGAGTCATTCTGCTATTAACAAAATGGTCACTTGATTATTTTATAGAGTGTTACTTTGTTTAGTCATTATACTATTTTATTAAGTCACTTGATTATTCATTAGTTCCAAACTCGTCATTTTTCATTAAAAAATTGACGATATTCTGAGCTGAACATTAACCTACTGAGTGTTATAATGACAACAACAATTTTTTTAACAAAAAAGATTATTTTAGTCGTCATGTTAACATTCAGCTTAAACAACAACAATTTTTTTAACGAAAAATATTATTTTAGAATATAATGAATAATCAAGTGACTATTTTTTAACTTTTAATAGTCGAGAGACTTGACAAATTAACATTCTATAGTCGAAGGATCGTCTTATAACTTTTAATAGTTGAAGGATTTAATAAAGCAATATCCTATAATTTGAGGACCATTTGTGTACTTTACCCTTTTATTTTTTACTAGTAACCGTTATAATTAGAATCGTGTGTGTATATGGGTAGGATTATCTTACACAATATAAAACTCTTTCAGTTCTATATAGATTTAGGATCGTTAGATGAGTGAAGATTTAGGATCATTAGATGAGTGAAAACGATAGCTAAAATTAAAAGTAGGAAATACAAAGATATTTGCTAAAAAAAGAAACAAAAAGTCAATCTCAGTCATTTATTTTCATTCATCCAATTATCTTAAATTTATGTAAACCTAAATAGTTTTACATTGTGTAAGTGAATCCTAACCCTATAATATATATATATATATATTCAAGTAATTATTATAAGAATTAAAAATAAATTATTATTTAATAAGATCTCAATAAAAAAATCACAAATATTATTTAATTAAAATAAATAATGATTTTGTTTAATTATTTTTTCACTGACAATGTATAGGTTAATTATTCATTAAAAATCACAAAACATAATCCGACTAACAGAAATATATCCCAACAGTTAAAATACATTTGGTCTGAAAATTCACCATATTCGGAGCAAATTTGTGCAAAATTCATAAGGTGGTCGGAAAACAGTGATCAAATATATAGCAGCTAAGCAAATCTAATTCAAGAGAGTTAGATGTTGATATATATATATATATATATATATATATATATATATATATATATATATATTCCATAACAGCGAGACCAAAACAGCACAAAAACATACAACAACGTTGTTGACTTGTAATGAACATAGTAACCCTTCCATCTTCATCCATGATCCACCTATCTTGTAATAAAACAAACATCAGCTCAACAACATATATGCCGCCGGAGACAGAGAGGCTGTTTCTGTTCAGCATTCATGCACCGCTACCTCCACTTCTTTTCCGATAATGATATGATCTGCGATAGAGAAAATGACGATCAAATATTGGGTATTACGATAAAAGCAATTGAATGTAGCATTTCTGAACAGAAATCGAATTTTTCAAACACTGGAAGAATGCAGCTTGTAAGAATTGTGCATGCAACATGCGTGCACGTGAACACTGGAGATAAAGGTCTTCAGACCAGGTTAGGGCAGCCACAGAGAGATAATGAGAAGACAAAGAATTGGATTTTGCAAGAAACTACGGATATTGCCTCGGAGAAGTAAGAATGAAGAACATATAATCTCATGTTTTTCGCGCTAGTAAACTTTCTGGCAATAACATATCACAGTCTACCACAAAGGCAAGTTTACTGAAGACGATATTGTCTAATTGCAAATAGGTAGTTGTTGTAATGGAAGATGCAGCAAGATCGGAACCAGTGCACTCGGCAGAGATAGTTATCCAAAGACCCCGAATAGATCTACCTGTTCTAAAAGTCTCCAAACAATCAAACACCCGCAAAAAGACACGAAAAAAAATGTCCCTTATGTGAAGTTGAATGTGGTAAGAATCAAAAGTTTTGATAACGCATAGAATCTAAGTTTCTCATAACTTGATCAGTCAAATATGACATCTTAACTTAAAGATGTGGCATACATATGAATGCCTACTCGATGCCTACACCAAACCGTACCCAAATATAATGTGCAATGAAGCACTAATGGCAATTGATAACCAACCTGACGAGCCACCTGTGCTAGTCGCCGACTGTCTCGAGATGATTCAGCTGTCAATGTGGAGTCTATAGAACCATTTTGTTTATCCTCCATCTTTCTTTTAGAAGTGTCCTTGTCGAGTGAGCAATCTCTGTCAGGGCTGCTCAAAGAATCCTTCTTCCGCTTTCTTTTGAAAGTGTACATGAGAAACTTATTATTTACCGGTTGAGGAGAAGACCCTTCAGTAACTTCAGGCGCTTTAACATCCAAGTTTACAGCAGACACATCAACCATCTCGACATCCAGTTTGCAAGATGCAACCCCTAAATTCTGAGCAGATCCACTCTCCGGACTTGACAACTCTTTTTCGTCTGTCAGCAATTTATCATTGTCTTTGTCATTATGGAGATCACAAGCTTTCACAAACTCGAAATCATCCTTGTCAACTTTTTCATATCCCGATTCAGTAACTACTTTCACTGCACTTGAAGGTGAACCAGGGATGGAAAGTGTACGAGAACCCTTTGAAGCATCATGGTTGATGATCCTACAATTTCCCCCAAATAGAGGGTTCTCATCAACAGCATGTGAAAAGTTTTCAGGGCACAGTAGATCAGATTTTTGGCATGCTGCTATGACCTGATCACGCATATCCGTAGATGAGGAAACTCTATTTTTCTTGTACCTAGCAGCTCTTTTCCTTTTCCTGCGAAAATGACTAACGGGAAGTGCTTGAATGATGTCATGAACATCAGTTTGCATTACTTTGATTTTTTCCTCAGGTCGAGGAACTTTTGTGTGCATATCCCTCCCTTTTTCATCTTCTCTAGAGTCTTCATTCTTTGTATCATCTACTTGCCCCGAAGGAGATAATTTTTCATTCAACAGACACCTTTCAAGTGCTCGAATCCTCTGAGTGCACCCATTTCTATACAGATCAGGCTCTTTTCGTCTCATCACTATGGAGGCAAAATTGGGGTTACAAAAGTAGCAATTATCTTAACAAGAACACTTAATACCCACATTTGTTGAACTCTTGATGTCAGAAACTGTCACAAGGTCAGTTTGTGTATCGAGTTGAGAAGATGCGACAGACCCGAAATTGCTGATTGCATTTCCATTTGGCAGTTTCTCACAAGCAGCAACATCATGTTCCGATTTTTGTTCGCCTGAACACCGGACCGGATTTTTGGTCAGCTTCTCCAACTCATCTTGAGCTTCTCTCAACTCTGCTCTAAGATCTCTAACTATATCCTCTGCTTCCCCAAGTTGTGCTTCCAGCTCTTCAATCCTTTTCTGCTGATTCAAGGACATCGTCTCCCCTTCATTAACCTACAATCATGGCAAGGACGGAAAATACTTTAAGAATTGGCTTGATGGGCCAACTACTAATCTATAAAGGTAAGAGCTTATCTATGTCAAACATGTCCTACACGAACGAATACATCTTTCTCACCGTATAAAGCTCGGGGGTTTAAGATAAAACTAAATAGCGCACAACCTCTAATCAAAGCAACGCAAAGCAAAGAGAAATGTCAACAGAAAACAATCTAATAACGAAAAGGCAATTCCAATTCATGAATTGCATTCTTCCGAGCTCACTACGCCGTGTATAGTGTTCATAATGCTTGTTCAAATGAGCAATCAAGTCTAAATCGATGAAGTATCTATTTAGCAAAACATGTTTAATGCAAATGCAATCAACTAAGCAATTTGAAACAAAAGGCAACCGAACAAATCAATCAAACATAAAAAACATCAACCGCCAAACAAACAATTATCCAGATGAAACCGACATTATGAAAACATTCCGAAACATTCTCATCGGATATGAACAAAAATTAACAGAAACAAAGACCAAATAGTTACCTTAGCATCCAACATATGTTTCAACCTAACCAACATACGCAATGCCTCGTCTTTGGCCGCGAACAGCTCCTGCTGGTACCGTTGAGCCTTCCTTTCCGACACCATTATCCTCGCCGCCGCTTCTTTAGCCGTGTTCAAAATTATCTCGGCATAAGCCTTCTTCAAAGCCGTCAATTTCTGTTCAAAGCACAGAATACCCGGAAATCACCAAAGAAAACCCACATAAAACATCCTCGTTTCGAACCGATAGAAGGATCAAAATCAACTCTTTAAAAAAACAACAAAAGAAATACTGAAAATTCACTCGAAAAAAGGAAGAATAACTAGGTTATGCAGAGAGGTGGTGGAGTTACTTTACCTCTAAATCGGCCATTGTAACCACTAATTCATCGAACTGATACTATGCATTTTCAGACCAACTTGTGAAGCAGAAGAACAAACGAGAGAATGAAGAGGTTGTTTGGTTTAGTTTTTTTTTTCTTCTTTTTTTTTTTTCCTTATAGCAGCTGTCAGTTGGGAACTGAAAGTCCTTCCTGTTATTACCTAGATACCCTCTTTTGTTCATTTGATTTACCAACACACCACTTCAGCTGACACAACGGTTGAACCGGTGCGGCTTATAGACCAATTGTTTTTCGTTTTTTGTCATCCTTTCTTCACAAAGAGGAATCGACAATTGGCGGGCGCATGTAATGAACACTTAATCCTCATGCTCCATTTACTTATGCTCGAATATAAAATCTCTATAAATAACAATTATTCTTTATATTCGTTTATGAGATTTTGGTGATGTAGGGGCAAAAAGTAGAAATTAGGTCTCTAATAATAAATATAGAAAAATTGAATTGTAAGAAGAAACAAAACTAAATAAATTTTGCTTGAAAATTGTTTTTATATTACGTTTAATAAACTATCAAATAAATACGTTAAATTTTAAATAGAAAATATCAAAAAAATTATTAAACGCCCAACTGCTCGCACAAAACAAGCGTGGTCCTCTTTTAAAATGATATATGTTAGATTTTAACATTCTTCATCTTATTAAAAAATAATAAAAGAATAATTAAGCGAAAATTAAAAAAAATGATCACATCAACTTTACCGTTAATTTTTTAATGATGGATAGTGAAAAAACAAAATGTAATGTTAAGTATAATTTTGTGCCCGAACAAGAAGGGCCTGAGCGGGTGTCCCTTTTTCCCATACTCAATGGACAAATATATCACTCTTTTAATTATTGAGATAATTTAATTTGTTAATAACTTTTTATTTAGGTAAAATCTGATTCAAAACAACATTTGATATTGATATCATGACTTTGTGCATCAACATAGTAAATTCCTCAACTACTTGATTATTTTATAAATTAGTCTTAAATTCTTTATTTGTTTAATTCGGTTTTTTATTTTGAGTCAATTTTGAACTACATACTCATAATCATTTTAGAGTACGTATGTGGATGCAATTCCTCTTTTAATGGTCTTTTTTTCCATATATTTTTTTAGATCATTTTACCCTTAAGATTTTTTTTTTGTCAAAACAACCCATTTTGAATGGAAGTTATTAGTTGACTAACTTTTAACACATATTTTTAGCATGACATATGTTTAATTACTGACGTGATATATGTCATGTCATTATTATCGGTGATGTGATACATATCATGTCATCATTTTAAGTGACATGAAATATGTCACATCATCAAATGATTACATAAAAAAATATCATGTCAATAATACGTGTTAATCGTTAGTTAATTAATTATTTTCATATAACATGTCCTACAAAATATGGACTACAAATGAACATAATATAACATATATATTAAATCTACAATTTACACGCATTATAGGGACTAATTAATTAATCATGGTATTTATTATTAGTTGGTTTAAAGGTATATGGTAACCATAATTATTAATTAATAATTGTTAATTAAGTATAGATTCATTGTCAAAGTGTTTAGATTATAAGAATTTTGTATATTTTATGTTTGAGTTTTATTGTATGTAAATATTATATTTATTTTTTATATTTATTTTAATTTAAATTTATCATGTGCGAGCCTTATCTATATATATTTTGACTATTAATTCAATTACATTTTATAAAATTAACATTCAGCTGGTCAATAATAAAAATATAGGATTGAGAATGATTCTTAAACTTTTCAAGGTCTAAGCATGCCCAACGTATTACACTAATTCACTTATCATTTCATAGTCTGAATTCATTTTATTTGCTTTCGGGTAAAGTACATAAATAGTCTCCGACTATTAGGTATATCTTTGATAAGTCCCTCGACTATGAAAATTTACAAAATGATCCTCAAATTTTAGAGTGTTATTTTGTTGAGTCCCTCGACTATTAAAAATTATAAAATGATATTATAATTTCAAATGACTATTTCAGTCATCGTGTTTAACGTCTGGCTTAAACAACCACCAATTTTTTAATGAAAAGGGATGATTTTGGAACATGATGAATAGTATGGTGACTATTTTGTAATTTTCATAGTCGATGACTTAACAAAGCAACATTCTATAATCAAATGACTATTTTATAACTTTAATAGTCAAGAGACTTAATAACGTAGCACCCTATATTCAGGGGACCATTTGTGTACTTTAGCCTTTGTTTTTTTTTTTTAAAGTAAATATTGATTGGGGAATAATGAAAGGTAATGGACGGCTTATCATCCACCGTCAAAACGCAATTAATCAACAGTGGAACCCTTTCATGGGTAAATGGATAAAATAATTGAACAAATAAAGGTGGAGTTTGATTGTTTAAAACTTTTGAATTTCTACCGTTTGTATTTTTTTTACGATAACAGCGAGGAAATAGAAATGATAAAAAAATAAATCTATATAAAAAAGTTAAATAAAATTATTTAAATATAAATATATTAAGAGTTATATTTTAATTCAAGTAATATCTTTATTATTACAACAACTAAAAGGTTGAATCCCATTTTTTTTTAAGAAAATGTTTACTTAATCTGTTTGAAGTATAGATATATTAACATTTTATACAATATTATTAGAAATGAGCATGGGTCAGGCTGGTTCGGGTTTCCAACCAATTTGATTCGACTTGAAAATTTTATACATCCACTCGAAAATCTGGTCTGACCCGAGTTTAGAGCAATTCTATTCGACTCGACTTTTGAGATAAAACTATATCCGACCCGACCCGACTCGAAATAATATAAAATTATTAATTTTATTTAATAAATAGGTACTTAATTGAAAAAATAATATAAAGAGGGTATTCTTGTAATTATCTCTAAATATATAATATAATTTTATATTATTTTTGGGTCGAGTTTGTTTTTTTCACCCTAAACCTGATCTCGAATCCGACCCAGACATATTGTCTAAAAAACCTAAGCTGAACCGAACCTAATTTTTTTTATAAAAAAATCCAACCCAATTGGGTCGGGTCAGAACCCGTCATATTTGGATCTTGTGCCCATCCCTAGATATAGTTATATAATAAATATCAAATAATTAAAATGTAAAAGTTTTAAAATATATGATAGTATGTTAAAATTATTAGGGTAAACTATGCAGTTAGTATCTAAACTATCATTTTTAGTTTGTTTTAGCACCTAAACTTTAAAAAAAAAATCAAAATCATACCTAACTTTTAGTTTTTGTTTCATTTCATTACCCGTTAAAATTTTAATGTTAAGTTTTGAAAAAAATGAAAATTTATCTATTAAAACATACCAAATTTGATAGTTTAGATACTAAACGCATTAAAGTTTTAACGACAAATATTAAAATGAAACAAAAGTTAAATGTTAGGTATGATATTAAAAAAATTAAAAGTTTAGGTATTAAAATGAATCAAAACTGATAGTTTAAGTATTAAACTCATAATTTACCCAAATTATCATGACACAAAAATATATTATTAATTACAAGTTGACATGTTTTTAAAGTCAAAAATATGTTGACTGGATTTATCTGAATTAAATAAAAAGAATAAGGATTGAGTAATATATTATTTTCCCAGGATATGCTCCCACCACTTCCATGTGCAATTGTCCTCGTATAATTGCAACGATTAAAAAGGTTGTTGGTGCATACTATTATATTATTATGTCTTAAAAGAAGTGAAATATAATATCTGATAAATAAGATGTTGATAAAATTAATAAGACCGATAAATTTAAAATTTTGAGTGCTTAAATTTAAATATATTGATTTTATTAAGTATTTCGAATATTAAATTATAAAATGATATTATGATTATAAAATATTAATTTATTAAGTCTCTCAATTATTAAATTATAAAATGATCGTTCGACTATTTTTTATATTTCAAACTTGTCATTTTATGTTAAAAATTGATAGTTGTTTAAGTTGTGCGTTAACATGAAGACTAAGATATGATAATTGTTTGAGACTATGTGATCAGATTTTATCATATCACAGTTAGTAAATTAACATTCAAATCAGAATACCGTTAATTTTTAATGAAATAAGATGAGTTTGAAACATAATTAATAATTAAGTGATCATTTTGTATCTATTAATAGTTAAGAGATTCTATAAAGCAACACTCTATAGTCGGATGACTATTTTCAGTAGGTGGATCCATTAAAGATTCAAAGTGGACACGTGGGCACCCTTTAATCCGATTTTTCTTTGAATATTACCTATTTTAACGGTTATACCCACCTGAAAATTTTATTTGCGCCAATCGTGTATAAAAAATTTGTGAGGTTAATATATAAATATATATGTGTCCATTATAAAAATATTTATAGATTATAATCTTGTAACTTTTAATAATAAAGAGAATAGACGATTTATAAATTTTAATCTAAAAAAATATGATCACGTTTATTAAAGAAATTAAAGATAAAAAATAAAGGGAAGGGATAATTTTTAATAATAACAATGCGGCATTATTTTGTCGATAAAAAGAAAGCCCACTTCGTTATCTTTTTGGAGATTTACAAGCAGACAAGACACAGTAACCAAACATTATGCGACACGTGTTTCATCGCAGATCGAAAAACAATCACCACAGCGTGGTGCCACCTCACCGTTGTCCCTCTCTATATATCATATGCGTATGTATTCTCAACGAGACTTCGGTATCGGTTCTTTTCCTTTCTCATTTGTACGGCCGCCAAAAGATACCTTCGCTGCGAAAGATCGGAAGAAGGGGAAAAACATGGGGATTCCACCTACCACCTCCCCGTCAGCCTCTTCATCCACCGCGAACGGCGGTGGAGAGATCATGCTTTTCGGAGTCAGAGTGGTGGTTGATTCCATGAGGAAGAGTGTTAGTATGAACAATCTTTCTCAGTACGAACAGCCTCATGAATCGAACAAGGACGGAAACAAGAACAACGAAGATCAAGGCGATGATAACCTCAACGCCGGTTACGCCTCCGCCGATGACGCCGCTCCTCACACCACCTGGTTTCGCGAGCGCAAACGAGGTATATATATATATCTTCCTTTTGATTCTCTTTTGATTTTTAAGCTTCTGATTGTTTTGGAAACTTTGAAAATGAAATTTAGGAGTTCCGTGGACGGAGGAGGAGCACAAGCTGTTTCTGGTAGGACTGCAAAAAGTAGGTAAAGGAGATTGGAGAGGGATTTCTAGAAACTTCGTGAAGACTCGTACGCCGACGCAAGTGGCGAGCCACGCTCAGAAATATTTTCTCCGGCGAAGCAATCTCAACCGCCGCCGTCGTAGATCTAGCCTTTTCGATATAACAACCGATACGGTATTGATCATTACTATTCCTTTCAACGTTTTTCTTCTTTGTTTTGCTTGGAAAACTAACGAATCTAGAAATTTAAGGGTCTAGAGGTGACATGTGTAAAAATGATTCATCGGTCAGTGACCTTTCAAATATTACAAAATGGTCATTAAACTTCTTAAACAAATACAAAATAATCCCTAATACATTTCAATGGTTGGAACATATAGCATCTCTTTGCGATCATAGAATTTATAAGGACCTGTTGCATTTAATTTGTAAATGCTCTCATAATTCACAGGCCTATATGTTGGCCTGTCTATTTTGGTACTGTTTGGTTAGGTACAAGCAATTCCAATGGAAGAAGAGCGAGTTGATCGGCAAGAGAACACAAATCAACCACCTGAGACCAATGTATTCCCCATGATGCCGGCTGCTTTTCCGATGGCTTTTAATCCTTTACTTCCTCCAGTTCCGGCCGAGAATCCGGTCGAAAATCTCTCCATAGCACAGGGGAATCAATCAAATAACAATGCTGCAACAGCAAACCTTAACAGTCGGGTTCGAGCTCTTCAGAGATCTGATCTTAACATGAGCTTGAATCCGGCTTCCGAGCCGTTATCGTTGTCACTCGAGCTGTCTTTGCAATCTGATCAAATGGATTCATCACCTTCAGCCTTGAGGCATTATCCGTTTCAGGTGATGCCGAACTTTAGCAACGGAGATAGCAATAACATCATCAGTGTTGCTTAAGAATGACATTGAATTACAATAAGCAAAGCCGGGAAAGCTTAGCGGGGAAAATAAAGAACAAGGTAAAAAATTAGGTAACTGGTTTTCGAATCACTTAGTTTTTTATGTATAGACTAAAAACAGAACAGAACTGCCATGTCTCTTGTCTTGTTGTTCTCTTTTGCTACTTATGTTGAATTATTGTTCATTTAGTTTTTGATCCGCTAGCTGATATATTAATAACAAGATTAACTGAAAATAACAAGTGCTGCCGCTCCTTTCGATTACTAATCTCGCAAATCTTGATGGGGTTTTTGATCGCTCACCCTTCCACACGCCGACAACTTTGACGACAAGGCGATCACTATTATATTCGGAACGATGCAATGAACATAATGGTGAGAGAGGTGTCAAAACGGAGAACTGATCAACGGCGAAAAATCGTTTTCAAAACTCTTAAGAGAGAAATGGCCAAAAAAAAAAAGAATGCGAGAGGGGGGTTTTCAAAAAAAAAATCAAGATTTAGGGTCTTATAGCCAATTTAAAGAAAAATGGAAAAATCTTGCCATTGGTCCTTCAAATTTTAGAACTTCTGATTTGACCGAAATTTGATTTAAAAATCATTTTGGTCCCCAAATTAAACCAAAATTCCAAATTAGTCCTCCGAATTAAAATTTTTAAAAAACTAAACCCTACTTTTGGGTGTGACGAAAAACATGGGATTATGTTAAATTAGGTGTGATTAAATTTTGTCGACTAGACTTAAAATACCCTAGAACTACATTTTTTATTTAAGTTTCATCTTCAATTAAAGTCCTTTAATTATACTATTTTTTTACTTTGGTACACTAATTTCTTTGAAGCTCACTATTTGAATCAGATCAAATAGAATTCATATCATGAACTTGAACATAATATCATGTCCATATAGATGACATGGATTAAAAAAATCATTAAACTTATTCTAATAGATTAGGTGTACCATCTTAAAAATTTAGATTTAATTTGAATGATAATTTAAGTATTTAAATATATATATAACTAAAATTAAAAAAGTAAAATAGTGGAACTAATCAAACGATCTCGATGATAAAAGTGTTATTGTTATCACTTGAGATTTCAGGGTTCGGGAACCATAAATATAAAAAATATAAGTGTTTAATATCATATAGTTGAGAGTCATATTGAAATATATACAACTTTATACTTGTCTTTGATTGATATTAAATCCTTTTAGAAATCTTGTTTTACTATATTTTGCTTTTTGTATATATAAAACTTTTAGAAAATTTATATGTAAGTCCCTTAAACTTCTATTTACACATTTGATTATGATTCATTGATGATATATGAGATTCTATATATCGGTGATATATTAAATAGAATATCAATATTTTATTAATGATATTGGACTTAGTTGAATAATTTGAAACTTCGGAATTTTATTATATATCTTGATACTAGAATTTTTAATTTTAGAAACGATATATATAAATAATTTAATAGAAAAATAGAGTATATGATTATATATTAAAGATCATTGAATTATTATTTTTTACTTTTGAACGTTTAAAAGTTATAAAATGATCATTAAATTTATTTAATTTTATTATTATTATTATTATTATTATTATTATATTACTGTGACTATTTAATAACAATTCGATAAATTTAATAACTTTTAAGAGTTCAACGATAAAGAAGATTATCTATGTATAATTATATGATACTTTACCCTTTAATAAAATGAGTAAAGTTACAAAATGGTCTTCCGATTATAGGGAGTTGCTTAGTTGAGTCCCTTGACTATTAAAAGTTACAAAATGGTCACACTACTATTCACTGTATTCAAAACTCGTCAATTTTATTGAAATTTTGATGGTAGTATGAGTTGTACGCTATTTTGCTGACTGAGATATGATAAAACATGAACTCATAATCTCAAATGATTATCATATTTCAGTAAACATATTAACGTTTAGCTCAGACTACCGTCAAAATTTCAATGAAAAATGACGAGTTTGAAAAATAATAAATAGTTGACTGACCATTTTATAACTTTTAATAGTCGAGAGACTCAACAAAATAATTTCTTATAGTCAGGGACCATTTTATAACTTTTATAATCAAGGGACTCAATAAAACAATATATTAGACTCAAAGCATCATTTTCTTTGTGAGACTAGTATTAAGCATGAAAATAGATAAACTACTAAATATCTCATAAATATCTTCCCCTTTTTAGCACTAATTGAATAATTCCATGCCTTTTCCAAATTGGTAAACTTCCCATGTAGAAAACCCTAAAATTAAGCTAAGTGAAAAGCATGGGTACACATGGTTGGAAGGTGAGAAACCCCTCCATTTTGGAGGTCCAATAAAAACTTGTCCCACGAAACCCTATTTATAGTGGAAGAGATCTCACCACCCTAATCCTTGATTTCCCTTACGATCAGGCATTAACCCTCATCGGCTTTCTCTCCTGTGCCGGAAAAACAGAGGGAGGGAGGTCATGATATCGGTCGGCTATACGCTAAGCCTGTCATGATCTATCCCGTCAAACCTAAAACCACAAAATCCTGCTGATAATCCTTTACATCGACGTGTCTTTACGTTGATTTTGAGGATTTTGGTACAATTTTTGTGGAGGGAAATGGGGAAAAGATCGTTTAAGCAGTTCATAGAAGAAGAACTCGGGTCGGTCCCGAAGTTCTTCATCTACGCGCTGCTCGAATGGGCGATGATCTTCATGTTGTTCGTGGGCGGGTTCGTGGCGTTCGTAACGAACGAATTCGCAAAGTTCTTCGAGTTGCCGGTCCCTTGCCTGTTTTGCACCAGGCTCGATCACCTCCTCCTCGGAAAAACCAGCCACGTCCATTACAATGAGTCCGTATGCGACGAACACAAGAAGAGTGTGTCGTGTCTTGCCTTCTGTCACGCCCACAAGAAGCTTTCCGACATCCGGAACTTGTGCGAGAGCTGCCTCCTGTCGTTCGCCACCGAGCGAGACACCGATTGTGATCGGTACAAGTCACTTCTCGGGATCTTACACAAGGATGTCGACCAGTTGTTGTTCGACGAAAACGGCGAGGTTCAGTTCTCGATACCTTTCGGGGTTAAAAGGGTTGAAGAACCAGCGGATTTTGAGAAGAGCAATGAGCATCGTTGTACATGCTGTGGGCAGCCATTGAAGCTGAAATTTACCGGTTCCAAGGACAAATTTTCTTCATTATCTTCTATGGCACTATCGCCTTCTCCCCGGGCTCTTTCGGATAATATGCTTCAGATTAAATATTCGGAGCTAAAGGTTAAACTTGATGAACCAGAGGCTCTTGAGGATAATGATCGCTCAAAAGGTGATATATATATATACACACTTGTCTTGTTTCATAATTATACTGTTTTTGATAATATTGGATTTATGTGTTTAGCAGTGAAGGAAGATGGGAAGGGTGGTCCAATGCCGATGGTTCCGGAGGGTGACGAAGACGACAAGACCCCCAACGTTATAAAGAGCAACAAGTTCTTCGGCATCTCCTTATCGGATTCCTGCAACGACAGCCCTCGGTGGAACCGAACTCCGAGGAAGTTACTGCTTCAGAAACCTGAGTTCGCTTCGGAATGTGGCGGCGAAGGCCAGGCACCGAACAGTCCTCGCATGGACCGAAAGTCACTCATGGCATTGTACATGGAACTCGACGAAGAACGCAGTGCCTCCGCCGAGGCGGCCTACAACGCGATGGCGATGATCACCAGGTTACAGGCGGAGAAAGCGGCGGTTCAGATGGAGGCGTTGCAGTACCAGAGGATGATGGAAGAACAAGCCGAGTACGATCAAGAGGCACTGGAGGAGATGGTCAATCTGGTGGCCAAAAGAGAGGAGGAACTCAATGAGTTAGAGGCCGAGCTCGAGGTTTACAGGGCGAAATATGGAGGTCTAAAGGAAACCGATTTCGAAAAGCATGCACCAAGAGACGAGAACGATGAAGGGAACAACAACGACAACAACCACAACGGCAAACCCGAAACTGCCTTCACTACTACTACTGCGGAGAACTCGGAGACTCAGCAAGGTCAGGCCGAATCAAATCCCAGTAACCAGGAGAAGGTCGGAGCGGCGGAAACACACAAGATAATGGGATCGGAATCGAATTCGTCGGCGGAAGCCACTGCGAAATCAAAGAAAGCGATGCGTCAAATGGATCGGTTGAAAATTCTACAGAAGAAGATGCATATTTCAACAATGGGAAGGCATGAAAGGCCAAATTGTGAGTTTGAGGACGAGTTTGAAGAAGATCAGTAGCGGATTAGGTAGAATAGTTTGCCAATTTACCTGGCTCTATTTTGCTCCATCTCATCATGCTCTTTAAACTACCCTATCTTCACATTCACAACACACTTTTATCATCCTACTGCATTTGTTACTTTTTTTCTTCTTTTACTATGTTCACCTTTTGAATAAAGAAATTAAACCAGTTAAAATTTTGACAATTTTTAATTTTTAAATTTATGGATAAATTACGTGTTTAGTACTAAGCTATCAATCTTTGTCCATTTTAGTATCAAAACTTTCAATTTTTTCAAAACCATACCTAAAGTTTAATTTTTATTTCATTTTAATATATTGTCGCTAAAAACTTTTATTTTTGTTTCGTTTTAGTAACGCATTCAAAATTTAACGTTAAGTTTTGAAAAAACTAATAATTTAGGTATTAAATTGACCAAAATTGATAGTTTAGATACTAAACACGTTAAGTTTTTAACGACGGATACTAAAATGAAATGAAAACTAAATGTTAGATATTATTTTTAAAATAAATGAAAGTTTAAATACTAAAACAGACTAAAACTAATAGTTTAGGTACTAAATGCATAGTTTACCCAAATTTATTTTCCTTTCCTATAACATACTGTAAATTTTTAAAAATAATTTTGAAATTCTAAAATATTTTTTTTAAAATTCCAAAGTTTTATAAAAAAATTATTAATCTTTAAAAATATCACTTCATAATATTATAATGTGAATAAGTCACCAATTGATTTAAAAAATTATTAAATTTAATATTAATAATAGAGTGAATTGATAAAATGTTAACGTACGAAGATTTAAATAAATATATTTTTTTTAATAATTTTATTATTTTTTTAAATAAAGTGACAAATGTCAATAATCACCATGAATAGCAAACAGGCGGAACAGGTGCAGATACCCTTTTCCATCTCCATACCCATTTAATATTTATGTATACACCACCTACTCATCACTCACGATGGATAAAATTTTTAAATACACACCCATCCATACAGATATATTCTCATATCTACCCCACACCCACTTTCCAATTGGTTAGCCACCACTCATCTCGTACTCACTTGTAATCGTCCATACCCGCTTGTCAACAACCTCACAGATTATATAAGCTACAATCTTTAATTCTAAAAATGATATATCCTAATATTTAGTTAAATTACAAGTCATGTCCTATAAAATCTTAAGATTTACATAATAATCTCTAAAATTATACCTAAATTCATGATATTCCAAAATTTATATAATAGATAGTTAATGGATGAGTGGACAAGGGGCTAGCAAATGAGGAGCGAATAAAGTCTCGAACCCATCACCTACCCACCACCCACGGTAAATATGACTTTTTACATCCACACCCGTTTACTTCCCACTAAACTTGTACCCATCCCGGTCCTAATTGAAGTGGGTGAGGTGCGAACGTTATTTTTTTATTAAGCTAAATATAATTACAAAATAGTATATATTCTCAGTCATTTGATAATTAACGCCCAATCACCCTTACAGTTATTGATGCTCGAACCCATAAGCTCTAAGAGTAATTTGATTCGTGCATCGACTAACGTTAGCAACATTAACATTTCGAAATTGAGCTATAACTCAGCTATAAGCCAAAAATAAACAAAGGGAAATCAAGTTCCACAAGAAACATCTATCACATATAATCGACATTTTACAAGAAAAAGAATGGAACATGCACCCTAAAACGACTTGAACTCCAAACACAGCAAAAACAAAAATTAAAGGAAAACAGGAAAAAGGACTTGTTATTCTACAAATGAAGCCTATAGACTCGTATGAATGTAGCAGCAAAACACCCAAAAGAATGATTAAAAGAAAATGGTTTCTTTTGTCCTTCCCTCAACTGGATGGGGCATAATTCTCTGATTTTTGTAAGACACATCTACAAAAACACAATAGGAGATGCAGGATTTTAGCAGGCAAGACTAAGCTACCAGAATTATAAAAAATAATCGGGGGTTCTACGTGTGGAATCCGGTTCAATCTGACGTGGAGCCGGGTCAAACTGAAGAAAACTTTGCTCCATATTCTCCCCTATCTCAAGAATTGCAGCCATATTTCCACAACGGTAGCAGTAATTTGGTGCACTAAACACCGTTACGACATTCTTATCCTGCAATAATAATAATAATAATAATAATAATACAGAGATCAATTATACACGATATGTGAGAATAAATTGTTCAAAATATATTTCTATTTTTACGAGGGATCCACAAACCTGGGACCAATTATAGCCTTCCATTACAAGCTGGTGAGCTCTAGAAATCAGAGTGAGCCCATTTGTGTGGTTGAACTGCCCAGAAATATCCTGTCCGAAGGTATACCCTGCTCCCCGAGGAGATATTCCCCATCCACATCGGTCATCAGGATCAGACCATAAGAGATCACACATTGGACCCTCATGAGGAACCTACGCAGCCAATAAAAGTGAAAACAGTACAATTAAGAAACCAGTGAACAAGATTGCCTACACGTTTAATAGATGTTACCTTTGTGATTTCACCATATGAGAATCAACACTATTATTAGTCTCTTTAGGATCGACAATAAAAAAAGACACACGGCAATCTAACGGTTAATTCATGTTGTATGAATGATAGTATCTACGGCTAGCAAGTCACACACAAATTACATGAGCCGTAACAGCTTTACTCAAACAGATTAACCCCACCTCCTATTTTCAAAAGATATCCACTATGAACCCTATTATGGGGTAATTAACAATGTATCCATTACAAGGTTTCATAAAATATAAATGGCACACACTATTGTTTATAACAAGGGAGACATAAGTGAAAAGTATAATATAACTAAAAGTTTACCTCCTGTATACGGTCCAGAGCACGAATGTTATCTAATGTATCCAAAGATGGTGAGAGTCCACCATGCAAGCAGAAAATCTGCAAGGAATATGAAGAGTTGTCAGCTCACAGCTAAGATTTGGATGGAAATAATCAACATGACAGTGTCAAAGAAATCAAACCTGACTTTCAATCAGGGCAGTCAGAGGTAAATAATCAAAGAGGTCAGTGAAATGCTTCCAGACATTAGCATTTCCATATTTTCTCAAGCATTCATCATAAAAGCCGTACCTGCAAAGAGAGGAACTTGATTATTGATATGAACATGGAATGATTTAGCAAAATCATTAAATAACTTCACACCTAAAATATTAGCACATGAATTATGTCAAATTAGCGTAACTAGTATCTGCTGCAGGTTTAACTGGCATCCATACTCCAAATTCCAACTCTCTTACAAGACACATTAGTAATCAGTTTGCCTTAACAGAAACAAAAGTGAAATAATCAACTTCAAGATACATTTTTTTTATTTTCCCTTTAATGACATTAAAATATGATATCTAACAAAATTAAAGTACTCCAAAAAACGTGCATGGCTACTTTCTGGCTCCAGTATGCAGAAATTCATTTAGTTTGCAAAAACAAAACTCTTGGAGCAGTTACAGAGTGAAAAGGAGAAAAACACTAGATATTATATCGCACACTTGAGTTATCTGGCGGCTCTCATGATTGCCCCTTAAAATAGTTATTCTATCTCTATAACGAACTTTCAGTGCAACTAGAAGAGTGACAGTCTCCACAGAGTAATATCCTCGATCTGCATATAACAAGAAAAACACATAAATCAGCACTGTATGGCAAATCAACTACTAAAGATGTATCACTATGTATGATCTGTTTCAATGCTAAGCAAGAAAAAGGCCAGCATAGACCATATCAGAGAAAACCAAACAAAAAACCATAGTTACTAGATTGCTGATAAAACTCAATCTAATGACAATCCATTATCTTTCTAAAAACTCCTGTTCTACAGATAACATTACCATCATCGTGTAATTACTGCCTATTGTTTCAAACCTAGATTTCGGAAAATCTGGATAGTTTTAGCTGAAGGGTAAATTTGTAGTATTTGCGGCTCAAATTTAATGTACTATACTAACTTGAGAAGATCACATATGAAGCCAAACAAAATTAGAATCAACTCCTCACTGAACTCTCAAAAAAGGATTCAAATAGTTTGAAATTAAACCATAATGTTCAGGCTAAATAAGGAAATAATCCTCAAAAGTTTTACATATTTCTATTTCAACAGCTCCACCTTATCCTAGAGAAACAATTCTATTCCAGCTCGTTAGATGATAAATACAGTTTACTCTTAAGAATCTCATATTAAACATTATAACTTCTCCATGTAAAACCATATAATGAAGGGGTATCATTTCCTTCCCTAAATCTTCCTTCCAACCCTTCTGTTTTCAATCAACGATATTTACAGTCTAAAGCACAAATCTGGAAATGTAAAAAAATCCAAAGCAATAATTCTTATTAAAAAATATATAAGATTAGAACTTAGAACTTAAACAATAAAAAACTTACATGAAAATCATGAAATGGTAATTAAATGCAAGGAAAACCGGGCCTACCTACGTAATCGCCCATAAAAAGATAATTAGTGTCGGGAGAATTGCCGCCTATGCGGAACAGTTCAACGAGATCGTGGAATTGGCCATGGATATCGCCGCAGACGGTGACGGGACACTTTACCGGCATAACATTCCACTCCTCCACGAGGATCGCACGCGCCTGCTCGCACAGAGTCTTCACCTCCGCCTCCGAAAGCGGCTTGCACTGCATTAAGTGCTCAATCTGACGATCCAGATCCCCGTGGGACGGCATCGTCTGGCAGTTTAGAGATTTGATGCTGATTTTCTTTTACTTTTTATTATATGACGGAGCTTTGATCGGACGGCGGATGATGAAGATGGAGAATTTTGGGGATTTTGGATCAGGTCATGGTTAGGGTTTGGGGGAGATTAAATTTGGACCTCAAAGCTCTATTTTTTCTCTATTGCTGAGAAGCCAACATTATTTGTGTTTACCAGATAACTATTGGAATTTGCCTTTACAAGCCCTTGAAGTTTCCGTCATTTATGAATTGCCTCCTCTATATAGCAACAATTACAAAAAACTCTTGTCCGCTCGTAGACATTGGTATCTCTCGTCTGTATCAACATCTCTCCCTCGACGATAACATCAAGAATATTTGATTTTTTTCTGCAAATCTTTTCTAATTTATATAGGTGTAAACAAATACCTTTCTTTAATTGAATATTTTAAAACCAACAAACACGTTTCTCTCTCGACGACTATCAGTGACGGACATAGAATTTTATTTTAAGAGGAATTAAAATTTCAATGGTCGAAAAATAAATTTTTAATAAAAAAGTACATAAAAATTTAAAATATATGACAAATTTAAATTTTAAATTTTGATTTTTTTTCTTCAACCTTTTTCTAATACACATTGGCATAAATAAATATTCTCATTTAATCAAATATTAAGAGAACCTCCATCAAACAACAAAATATTTTTTCACATCATTTAAATATCAAGAAATGAATTTTAAAAATTAATCTTTAGAAAATATAATTTATTTTCTGAAACTAAAGATAAATCATTTTTTAGGCTAAAAATATAAGATGTTCAAGTACTTTTGAGAAAAACTATTGTAGCCTTCGTATTAATTTTTTTTCAATGTGACCCTTCAACTCAACTCAGAAAATAAATCTAATGTAACCCTTTGACTAACATTTTTTCGTCGTTCACAGTTACAATGTTGATGTGTCAGATCATGGTCCTAACATAACAGTTCATGGTGACAAATTAAAATGACAAATGACATGACAACTGACAAAATTGATAATTCAAACATGATAAATGGATTGACACATCAACACTGTGAACTGGCTTGCCAATATTGTTACGGGTGTCACATTGAATTTGTTTTCTGAGTTTGAGAGTCAAGCGGAGAGAAAAATAATATGATCGTCACATTGTTTTTTTTCAAACTTACAAAGACCTCTTATGTCTTTTTGCATTTTTTTTTTACTAATCCAATCATATATATCAATACGAACAGATTAGAAGTTTAGAACCTCCACTGCTCCACGTGTATAAGACGGATAAACCACAAGAACATGGCTGAAATTCGGTAGATTTTGTCAAGTAACTGATACAATGGAGTTGTCTGAATCTAGTCAGATGGAGAACACATAACAGGTTAGATGCATTTTCTACAAGATATGTGACACTACAAATTTAGCAACACTAGTCCACATTTATGACACATTTTCCGCAACACATGTAAACCAGTCACAATTTTTTCCCTCCTTTAATCGAAAAGACAACAAACAGATTGTTCTTGTTCTTGTTGCTGTGTAAGCAAGCAAGGGTTCTCCGAATTACGTCGCTCTTTCGAAGTTCCCGCCTACGTGCATCTGCAACCACTCTGGTTGTGATCCCTGAGCATATTCCCTTGCTGCTTGTGAGCCAAATATCATTCCAGCACCATCAATTGGCTGCAAACCAAGCTAAAGCACCAGATTCTCGTGTTAAACATATTAGACCGTAGCTCCGATTCATTCCACGATTTTATATGCAAAAGATTGTATATCTGCTCAATTTAGCTTCTACATGTATCCCTAGAAAAAGTTCTACAGTGCCAAATGTATTATTTTAAAGGCGACAGTCAACATGGTGAACAGTGGGGATTTTAGTTGCAGTGATGGCATCAATGGATAAAGCCGATAGACCAGTAACACAGTAACACTGCATTCAAATACGAAACAAAAGATGCAGAAAAGTCAATAGATAAGGCAGCGTCGAAGGCAGGTCGTGTGTGTACCTTGCACCTTTAGACAACAAAAGCACCTCAATCACTTTCCGGCAAGGTGCATTCAATCAAGTGCATGCCTAGTGCACCTAGGTGCAATTGTTTGTAAGATATTAAGGTCAGGCTCGGTTGGTTGTAAATTGCTTCACATATTAAATTTCAGATCTTATATTTACTTAATCGTCTCGAATAGGACTTCAATCCGATGCTATCCGTGCTATAGCTTATGTGATGACACAAATATTATGCGATCAATCAACATAAGCATACTTACATCCTTTGAATGAAAGCTTTCCAAGCTAGGATTCATGTTTCTCCTTGAATTAACTGTTTCGAGTTTCAATGACAAGAACTGCAAAATTACATTCATATAACAGGTTAAAGCTTGAAAGCATAGCGGAAAACGTGACACTACTACAGTAAGATGTGTAGGATTCATACCTCAACTTGTTGCTGCAGTGACTGGATGTAATTAATAATCTCATCAAGGACAAGTGCCTTCCCAATGACCTGATTGAAACGTTTGCATTAAGTTTCCCATCATGAAATTTTCGAGGCACGAACTGACCAAAACATAGAATTAAGGACTAATAGAACACAACTATGCAATAGTAAAAACCTTGTTGCATCCAGGGACCAGATCCTGAAGAATCTTCATCCTCTCGCTAATCCGCTCTCTCCTGGCCTGTAGAGGAAAAACTTATACTAAGACCATGTTTCAAAAGGGTCCAAACCTCCCAGCTTTGCCTTTCACACTAAAACATGAACCAGCAAGACCCATGATTCCGGATCCGAAATTCTTTTACTGGAATTAATTTCAAGTTTCGATATCGAAATTTGCAAATTCAATGGGGTTAAAGGTGAATTACTCTCTCAGCCAAACTATGGCTATCAATTGCTTGACCCCTTCTAGCTCTGACATGAATATAGTCTTGCTTAGGCGGTTTGGCAGGTTTATTATTCAGTTCTAGCCTGCCACCCTCATCGGAACTCGCCTCCACCTCAGCTTTAGGACCAGCAGTTCCATTCTTTGCACCCGGTGTCTTCATCCGTTTTCCATTCGAATCATTCTGTTAAAAATACTAAACCATAAGACATCATGAAGTCCAAACATAAACAAAAATAAAATGCAACTAAAAATTAAACCAAAAATAGCGGCAAATTTTGAATCTTCAAAGTGCTTTACGTCCTCACTGATTTGAAGCCAAACAAAAGCATACAACTTGGCATAAGCTACAAGTGGAAAATCAAAGGAGGAAGAACTGAATTTGAGTAAAACAAGCTGATAATGAAACAAAACCCACGCAGAATTGAATCCAAAAAGCCTAAATTAAAGAGGGAGAAAAAGAACTAAATGCCATAATTAATCGACCTAAATTTCCAAAATTTTCCTACCATTTTCTTACCTACCAATCAACTGAAAATCCAAAAACTAAAAAGAGCTAAAAAAACCCAAACATTAAAAAATAATATTTTGAAACCAGGAGGAAGATAAAAAAAATCCCACCAATTCATTCGCACTGGTAGTAGTAGAAACAATCTTGGAAGACTCATCTTCAGAGTTCAATTCCTTCCTTTTTCTCCCACCTCCACATCCAACACTCTGCTCAGTCACAGTAGATTCCTCCATGGACCCATCTCTAAGACCCGAAGTCTCCCCAAACCCGCCCAAATTACCCATTCGGGCCCCCAACCCACGTCCAGCTGCAACTGTCGGGTCGGAGCCTGGGTTGATTGGGAAAGGCCAAATCTCAGAAAGGCTGTAAGCTGAAGGATTCGCTGCTGAAAAAGACGTCTCATTGATCAATGGAGGATCCATAATGAAGGATTCCTTTTCATGAAAAAAACGGAGTGGGGTTTGGATTCGGGTCTTGGATCCGAAATGGGCTCTTTCGAAAATGTGAAAAAGGGGGGGGGGGTTAACAGGTTAAGGTTTGGGTTTTTGGGGAATGGAAGAGGAGAGAAAAAGGTTTTAAGCTTTATTGGTGAAAGTAATGAAGAGGTGAGCTCAAACAGCTGATTAAGAGAGATGGAGAAAGAGATCTGATCTTTTGTTTGGATGGAGAGGGAAGGGGGATGCGCAATGTGCATATGGTGCTTTTTAGCTTCATCTATCTCTTCCCTTTTTGGTGGAAGTGCTTGTCAGATCCATCAATTATACAGATTGCATCAATTTAGTCCCTCCAGCATTTGGTGTATCAATTTAATGTGGCTACTATTAGAGATTGGTTCAAGTTAATCCCTCTCTTATTGAACGGATGTAGAGTAATGGAAAAAAAGAATTCCTCGTATAAAGTTTTCATCATATTATTTTTTGGTCTAGGATTATTGTTACAATGTCAAGAGGACTTCATGAACTTCGATTTTTCGATGGAAAACACATGGATTACCATACGTCTTCAGTTTTTTCAAAAAACATCTATAGAAATACAGAATAAAGAAAAAAAAATAGTCGGTGACAAGGAAGGCGTACTGTGGTTTCTGTGTCTTTCCCAAAAAATTGAAGTTGCCTAATGTTCCTGGCGTCCTTCCTTTGACACTGTAACAATGATTCTGGATCAGAAAATAATACGTTGAGTGTTTTATGTGAGGAAATTTTTTTCCTGCTGCTCTACACGAGTAAATTTCCCAGTTTAGTTTAATAAGTTCAGGGGGTCATTAGTATATTAAACCAAAACATTATACACTTTGCAAGAGAAAAGTTTCGTAGGTATTTTACCATTTTGACCTAGTTCCCCGAGACTCGTAGCCAGTGTGTTTCGGGCTTTTTTGTCCTCAAAGAAGTACGGTCAGCATGGGATCAAGTGCCCTCCACTACATTTGTAAAAAATTTAATAACAAAAATACACAAATATGTGATTTGTAAAAACTTACACATACTTTATTATTATTTTAGAATTTATGATTTAACCATCTTTTAATTTGATCTAAAAAATTATTATATGATAATTTAGTTTAAGGTTAAAAATGATAATTTTAAATGCAACCGAAAACATGATAATAATTTTATATTTTAAGTTGGACGCAGCTTCAACATGCCATAGATGTTTTTAATTTTTATCTTATTTGACGTTCGGTGTTCGATGGTTGACGGTCACATTAACAAAACCCTAAATCTAAAGCCAAAGTCTCCCAACGAGGTACCAAACTCCTAATAAATCAATCCTACAAGAGAGAAAATGAACATAAAAATAGAAGGGGGTCTCTTGGACTGTTCTATATAGTTTGTCAGTCAACAGGGCAACAGTTTGACCAGTTACTCTCACTGTGTGCCCGTAATTCTGATGGGTAAACAACAGTAAAATTACAATTGCCAAACGAAAATGCAAGTTTAACCGCTATATTTTAACCTTCACTTTGACAAAAATTGCCATAAACTACTACGATCTGGAAATCTGCCATAAGAAAAATTGCAGCACAACATGAAATCCGGTTCCTTGACAATACAGCAACACAGTAACGCTGGCACCCGAGAACGATAATACGGTTTTATTCTGATCGTGCTTTCGTATCTTCCAAAAATGCAGTGTACGAGTCGTCAATACTCTGTGCCTTTGGAGCCAACGATGAGCTGGTGGATTCTTGCTTCACAATGGTAGGAGTTAAAGACTTGGCTGCTGCCGTTGCCACGGTTGAGAGCGAAGGCTTTGGTTTTGCTTTTGGGGCAGAAATCTCCCTCCTTACTCGAAATGATGTAGGGACCTAAACAATATATCATGTCCACAAAAAAATATTAAAGCACCATAAAAGTAGCAATAGGAAGTATACTTACCATAGCAGCTGAGCCAGTGGCCGCTTAATAACAGTAGGTGCTGCAGATTTAACGTATGAAGGTTTCTGTGGTAAGGGTGGTCGATGTGCATAATTATAATCATCCATTGCAGTAGGGGGAGGACCGGGAGGAAGTGGTGGTCTCATCATTGGTGGAGGACCCAAAGGTGGTCTGGGCATTAGTGGGACCATCATTTCAGGAGGAGCTTGACCAGGAAGTCCACTAGCAGATAAATGTGCCCGTATGTATGGAGGTGCTACTGGAGGGAAACGTGATATTCCAGGAGGTAATACATCAGGATGTAGAACTGGGACCATGGCAGGTCCAGGCACCGGAGGTTGTTGTCTGAGTGGAGGTGGGGGTGGCGGAACCATTTTAGTGAACTCTGTCGTAACCGGTTTTCGTCCGGGCACGAATATATTAAATTTGGCGGGGAAATTGATATGAATAAATGGTTTTGAAAATAATTTGGGAGTCGCCATCGGCCTTTTGGGTCAGGTAGGTCGAATACCTAAAAAAAATATCTTTTAAAAGAGTTTTTAAGAAAACATCAATTAAAAGATAAACTGATCTGCGTTTTAACCAAAAATTCGTTCTTTTTAATAATAAAAAGGGATTCGTGGTCGGTTACGTTTAGGGAAGGATTAGCACCCCTACAACGCCCTAAATTGGTACTTTTTAATTATAAATTGTCTCTATTTATTAAAATTTAAAAATTCAAAAAAATATATTTAATTTATAATCCTATTATTTCAAAATTATATAAAAATATTTATTTAGTTAAAAATATCAGAAAAGAACTTCTAGGTGCCTTAAGACAGCTCTTTTCTTTGATATTGATAAATATTAATTTAAATAATATTGTTTAATTTAAAAATACCAGAACAGGACATCCAGTGGTATTAAGACTGTCCTTTTCTTCGATATTAAAAATAAATATTTTAAAAATTATTATTTATTATATATATATTTATGAATATATAAAAATATTTAACAATATAATAAAAATAAAAATACTACTAAAACAATATATTTAAAAACAATAAAATAAATAAAAACATATAAAATAACTGACTAAATTACACTAAAAAAAATCTAATTCATAATTAATCAAAATTATAGGGATTAAATATGTTATTTTCTTATTTAATAATTTAGTGATTAAAATAAAATCATCTAAAGTTCGGATATTATAATAAAATAAATTAAAAATATAAACTAGGGATAAAAAAATTATTTATTAAAATTAAGAGATTAAATCTGTTATTTATCCTAAATATATTATTTTAATATAAAGGACTAAAATGAATAAAATTGAAATTCGAAGACTGAATTAAAATTATTATAAATTCGATTTAGTGACTAAAATGTAAAGTTTACAAGTTTAGATGGCTGCGGAAATGATTTAACTATTCTTTAATTACACGAATAGCCCTCCCCAAAACGACGTCGTTTGAGAAGGGCTATTTAATGCCCAAGACAGCCGGCCCTTCGGGCCATCTCTTTCATTTTTCAATTTTCATTCTCTCTCTAACTGAGAGAGAATGAACAAAGCTCTCCCCTCTCTCTAGCTTCCCTCACCGGAGGGAAGCCGGTCACCGGACGGCAACCGTCTGCCGCCGTGACCGTCACCGCCGGCCACCGCATCCGGTGGCCGGAAAATTTTATTTTTATGCTATTGGGTAGTTCGGACCGTCCTAAGGACGGTCCCGATGTTCTTTTTCCTTAAAAAGCTCTGAATCGGAGCGAATCTACAAAAATACCTTCGGCGTTTCGAAGGTTCTGGCGAGATCCGGTGGCGGTTGGGTTCTCCGATGACAGTAAGTTTATCTTCTTTTTCTTTTCTTTCTTTTCTGTTTCTTTGTATCTTTCTCTCTGTCCTTCTTTTTTTCTGTCTCCCCGTTCTTTTTTTTTTCAGGTTGGGGTGGTGGCTTTTATAGCCACCACCGGTGTGGCCGTCGGACCGGTCCGATGAGGGGGTCTCGGTGAGTCACCGGACTACCAGTGGTGACTCACCCCGTAGCCATGGCGTGGACGGCTGGTGTTCTAGCTTCTGGAGTCTTCGGTTGAGACGTGGCAACGGCGGAGGCGGCGAGATAGCAGCGGCGGCCGCGTGTCCCTAGGGTATCAGACCCTAGGGTTTCCATCTGGGGCAATCTGGACCGTTGGATCTCTCAGATCCAACGGCTGTGATGAGGCGGCCGGCTAGATTTAGGGTTAGGAAACCCTAACTGGAACCCCAAATATTTAGGGTTTCTGGTTTGATTTGGACCGGTTCTGGTTTGTTTGTAACTGGGTCGGTCCAATTGTAATTGGTCTGTAATTATTTATTTATATATATTTATTTAATATATATTTAATAATAATAATAATGATAATAATAATAATAATAATAATATAGTAATAATAATAATAATAATAATAATAATAATAATAATAATAATAATATGGATAAAAAAATTAGTATCTTCAGCTGCCCCTCTTTGCTCATTCTTGTGTTAACAAGAATAGGGCAAAGATGAAAAGATAATAAATTTTTTTATCCATTTGACTTTACTTTGATCATAAGGGAGATATTGAATAAATTCTTCTCTCTCTCCAGATGAGTTCTTCTTATTATGAACTTTCTGCTGGGGATGATGATGACCTCCTTTCTGTGATAGATTTATTCAAAAGGTTGAATAAGCTCTTGATGAGTTCTTCTCATTATGAACTTTCTCTAGAAAGGCTGATGCTAATCTATCTCCTTCTGTGATAGAGTCATTAAAAAGGTTGAATAAATTCTTCTTATTATGAACTTCTTCTTTCTTCTTCAGATGAGTTCTTCTCATTATGAACTTCTCTGGAAAAGATAATCCATCAATTGATGAATTCAGGTAAAAGGTTGAACAAATTCTTCTCATTATGAACTTCTTCTTCCTTCTTCAGATGACGAGTTCTTCTCATTATGAACTCTACCTGGCAATGTTGATCCATCAAATGATGAATTCAGGTAAAAGGTTGAACAAATTCTTCTCATTATGAACTTCTTCTTCCTTCTTCAGATGACGAGTTCTTCTCATTATGAACTCTACCTGGCAATGTTGATCCATCAAATGATGAATTCAGGTAAAAGGTTGAACAAATTCTTCTCATTATGAACTTCTTCTTCCTTCTTCAGATGAGTTCTTCTCATTATGAACTTTCTCTGGAAAAGATGATCCATCAAGTGATGAATTCAGGTAAAAGGTTGAACAAATTCTTCTCATTATGAACTTCTTCTTCCTTCTTCAGATGAGTTCTTCTCATTATGAACTTTCTCTGGAAAAGCTGCTCCATCAAGTGATGGATTTGAATCTTTGCTAAAATCTTTGAAATTCCTGTTAAAAATTCAGCATAGATGAAAATGAATGAAAATGCACCTATTTTTGTAAACACCTAAAATATGATGCATGAATGTTGAATTATTTGATTTCAGATTGGTGAATTGAGTATTTCTTCAATTGTAAAAATCCAATAGATTTTTCTTCTTCAAATGAAAGAATCTATCATCTTTGACCAATATAGATATAATGTCACAAAAATCTCTTGAGAATAAAACTCAATAGTATAGGCTCTTGAAAAGCTTGCATTCAGGTAACATGTTGATTCATCTGATTATGAAGTGACCTTTCAAGATGATTTCACAGATATCGATAGTTCTTCTAATACCGAGAAATCTTGAATTCTGATTCTGATGAGGAGAATAAACTGTTATACTTGACAAAAATGGGATTCTCAAAGGCTGAAGCTTCAATAGCCATGTAGAGATGTGTGGTCCAAATTCATCAATTGCAGAATTGGCAAATTTTATATGTGTTGTTCAAATGACTAAAAATGCTGACGCACTTCTTCCGGTAAAAGATGAGAAGCCATTATGTGATAATCCCAGTTATAAGCAAAGACGAAACTTATGCTATGATTTTTGGGAAAGGGATAAGCAAAAGAATCTTGAAAAGAAACTTCTTAATGAAGACGATCATGCAGTTCATCTTTTAATTCCAATGATTGGTTCTGTAGTTCCTACCAAACCAGATCAGATAACTCAAAGAACACTTCCAGAAGATGCTATTGGCAAATTCATCTTCTAAACTCACAATGATTGTTCTGTCCAACCAGATCAGATAACTCAAAGAACACTTCCAGAAGATGCTATTGGCAAATTCATCTTCTAAACTCACAATGATTGTTCTGTCCAACCAGATCAGATAACTCAAAGAACACTTCCAGAAGATGCTATGAGCAAATTCATCTTCTTAATTCAATGATTGTTCTGTCCAACCAGATCAGATAACTCAAAGAACACTTCCAGAAGATGCTATTGGCAAATTCATCTTCTAAACTCACAATGATTGTTCTGTCCAACCAGATCAGATAACTCAAAGAACACTTCCAGAAGATGCTATGAGCAAATTCATCTTCTTAATTCAATGATTGTTCTGTCCAACCAGATCAGATAACTCAAAGAATACTTCCAGAAGATGCTATGAGCAAATTCATCTTCTAGTTAATGTTTGGACTAGGATATCATAATGCTTATTTGATGTAGAGCCAGAATTTGTAGATTCGAAGCATTTCCATGCTATTACACTGAAAAGGGCTATATAATTCTGCCAATTAAAAACAGAGTTTCTCTTATTCTGCTTCCTCCATGTGCTGATGCTTTTCCATTGACAAAGAAATGATGGCTTTCATGGGATCCAAGAATAAAGTTGAACTGTTTATAAACATGTACAGGAAGTGCCAAATTGACAGAAAGGATCTGTAATGCTCTTGAAGCTTATGACAATAAGCCACCTTCAAGTGTCCAGAAGTATGTTCTTGATGAATGCTGAAAATGGAATCTAGTATGGGTTGGAAGGAATAAAGTTGCTCCACTTGAACCTAATGAGGTGGAAATGCTTCTAGGTTTCCTTAAAAACTATACACAAGGATCTGTTTAGAGACATGTTTCCTAGTGATATCAATATCTTGTTTCTTTTTGCTATAATCAGTGCTGCAACGATCGCCTTCTACTGTCTTAGTATATCTTTGAAAACAGATGTGCAAGAACTGAATGGTGATCGGTTGGAACAATTGATGAGTAAATTTGGCGGATTCGACCTTGTTGTCGGTAACATCCCATGTAACAATCTTGATGTTCATGGCTTTAAGATGGTGATGATTTGCTTACTTTGTATTCCATGTATTTAAAAGTATTAACATAAAGTGATATTCAGAAATCTTTAATTTATTTCAAAATTATGTTAAATCATAGAAGAATAAATTGAATTTCCCAAAATAAATTGAATCTCCAATAAATTGAACTTGAAATAGATAGAATTGTATTCAAAGTTATGGTAAACATAAGAATGAT